CAACCTCCCTGGGCAGCCTGTTCCAGTGCTCCGTCACCCTCAGAGGGAAGAAGCTCTTCCTCATGTTCAGACGGAACTTCCTGTGCCTCAGTTTGTGCCCATTGCCCCTTGTCCTGTCACTGGGCACCACTGGAAAGAGTTTTTCACATTCTGCATGGGCTGCAGAAGTCAGCCTCACAGTCAGGCCTGAGCCTTGGTTGGGACCTGCATGTCTGTGCACATCAGTGTTCAGGGAGCTCCCGGGGTTCCCCAGACAGAATCTAGCACCGCGGTACCACAGCGAGGGCTACGTTACGGCGAGAGAAGGCTTCTCACCAGCCCTCCCAGGAGTGCCTCACAGCGGCAGTCCACAGCAACGCGGGATGCTGGGATAAACAGGAAAAGTTAGGCATCAGCCGAAATTTTCCCCTTCCAAAATAATTTTCAGAACCAAAGCTAAGCAAAATTTGCTGGCTTCCCAACTAGAAGAGAACAGACTTAACCAGTAAATGCCTTGGGAGCAGAGCGGTGTCTCAGCAGACGCTTGTGGCACCTAGCCTCTAACCTCACTCCATGTAATTAAAAACCCATCAGACAACATGACATCACAAGACTTGCGACCACACTTCATTCTGCAAAGGTCAAATTCCAACTACCTTGTCTGCTGCTGTCCTATAAGGGTACCTGCATCTCTAGAAAAAAACCCAGTGCTGCTTTTGTCATCCTAGTATTAGTAACCTCGAGCCCATGAGACAGGAATAATCTGTGAGAAAGTGGCATAATTCTAAGGGGCAATATTAGAATTGCTGGAGCTCAGTGCCATACTTAATGAGCCACTGATCTTGAACTGGGCTGTAAAAATCACAGGGGAAAGATGCAAAAGGTGCTTCATTAATTACCTTTATTATTAAAATTCTGGCAGCCTCTTTTTGCCCTCCCTTTTCCCATGATTTCAAGACTTGCTCTCTGATGAGTTTGGATCAGTAGTTTAATTAAGTTGGCACTTCTTTCTAGCTTGGGGATTCTGTGCCCTAGAACTCTGCTGGCCCCCACCAAGCCTGTGGCCTAGCAGTCCTTGGCACTATTCCAACCCAGTGGCACTCTGAATCCTCACAGGAAACAGCTATTTAAATCACAGTCCTTAAGCCAGGCACTCAATCATCAGACGCGAGACAACAGGACGCTGCTGCATTTTGCTGGGATGAAGCTGACTATCTTGCCTACGCTACTTGTGAAAGAGCATTTCTCACCAACCCCATACCAGTGCCCCATGGCAGCAGTCTCCAGCAATGCCAGTCCTAGAAAAAACAAGACTGTCACAGGCTGGAGTGAGGGATTATCCCGACCAGAAAGGAGATCAGCCAAGACGTTGCTGCTCTTCACCCTGTCCCTGATGCTCCCCGGGAGCATGAGACCTCTGCAAGTGGAGATCTCTCTTCATTGTGCTAGTGAGAATGTGTTCATGAGCTGTTCAGATCACATTCAGGAATTTCCAAAGCAAGCAAGTTCGGCCAGTCAGATTGAGTGATCTTACAGCCCCCTTCCAGGCTAAAGAAAAGTATCCATCAAAACTAGAACAGCAATAACAGGCAAGAAAGCACTCTCAAGGAAGCCAGTTTGCACTGCTGATCTGGGCCTGCCATATGCTGCCACTAAAACTGTGGGTAAGTGCTACCAGGAGAAGGGAACTTCCCAGCAGCAAATTCCCTCAACCTGAGGAAGTGCTTGAAATCCTTGCCATGAAATCATCTTTCCTCTAAGAGGGAAACACTGGGGTCTTTCGTTTCTCTGCTGAAGGGACAACTCCCTTTCTAGAGTCCCACTCCACACAGCAAAGCTTGCTTGGTGGTGTAAGTGGCTACTGAATACTTGGATTTCCTAAAGCTGAGACTCCCTAGATAATCTTTCGTGTCTGGCAGATGGACTTTGGTGCAAGCAGTAGTCACTGTGCAGAGACAGACCACTAAGCATTGAGCCTTAACCCACTGACAACGTAGACTGGAAGATACCTACTCTTCACGATCAACGAATGCCAAGAAGAGAAATCAGTACAAAGCATCAATCAGAAAACCACTATGGTCCAAATTCTCCCCTGCAGATGGACTGAGATTCAAAGCCAAACCTTGCCCTGTAAATAAAGCCAAAAGGCCTTTCCAGTTCCCCTCAGAAAAGGGCCCCCAAATTCTGCTTGGGAAGCTCTACTTCATCACTGCTCATGTTGGGACCCACCTCTTCCGAAACACCTGGAGGAAGCACAAGTGCAAGTAAAGCCATGCGTAAGGCTGGGAGTGTAACAGGGAGAAAACAAGAGATGAGTTAGAACCACTGGCCTGTTCCTTGCCTAGAGAACCAAGAAAGGAAAAGGGGCTGCTTCCCTGTCCTGCTGACCCAGCAACTGCCTCATAGGACACAGAGACTGTGAAAGCTCCAATTCCTCCAGGACTGGAGGACAGTAGAGAAGGCAGAAGCCGGAGCCCCTGCTTTCTGTACCCAAACTCATCAGTAAGGGCACAGTGCTTTCATTTCGCTTCCAACATCCCCAACTGTCACCTACTAGTCCTCAGGTCAAGTATGTCCACTACCCCAGCAGTACAGCCCCCCAGGCATGCAAGGAAACAACAAACAGCAACAAGCATGCACGCATGCACACACCAGAAGACGTGCGCACACACCCCACATTTCACTGGAAGCAGCAACATTGCCTCGCCCACAGGTCTGGAGGCTTGGCTGGGTACTACCTGCATGATCTGCGTGGGGATCTAGCCAAGGGAAGAAACCTGAAAATCAAGGCAGGGTGGGAGAGTCATCATCACCAACAGCTTTTACTCAGTGAGTAATGCCCTTAGACTACTATCCCCGATAGCTGTTCGGAGGGAATTTGTCCAGCCTTAGCTTAGAGCCTTTGTGTGTAGTCCCCACATGCTTCAGACAGTGAAGTTGTTTAACCAAGTTATCCTTGATTAAACACAACTCAGCAAATGATTCCAGGTGGAGGCAAACCTCAAAGGCTCAGTTCCTTCACTCTCAGAAGACGAGTGGCTTGGAGAAGCATCTGCTCAAAAATCTAAGGATTGCCAGCCTTGCTCTTAGGGATCTCCACAGCCTGGTTAAACCTGGCTCCTGAGACAGCAAAGAATTAACAAGCACCAGACGTGGTGATGTTGTGGGAAACAGAAAGAGGCAATGCCCATCCACTGGGAACTAGGTCCAACAGCGCTCTTTTTCTTCATCATGCTAGCAAGGACTTGACAGTACTTGCAAGCTGGGCTGGATTCAAATGACAGACCCAGAGGAGAAAGGCTCCAGGTCTAGAGCACTGCACAGAGGAATCCAGAAGTGATTCCCAGGCAAGCACTTTATGGCAACAGGAAGTAACGGGGAGAAGTCGAGCACAGCAGACAGAGGAATTTTATCCTGAAACTAAGCAAGGGGTATCCCATGGACAGAGAAGCAGCACCCTGCTCTTCCAGCATTTCAAATGCATTTCTGTAAGTTCCATAAGCAGAGGTAAGATCAGCAAGTATTCCACCAGGCGGTCCCTGGCAATCACCCCCCTTTCAGTCAGAGCAGATGCCTCCACAGTGGATGACTACTCAGGGTGCACTGGGGACCTGAAGAGACAGCATCTTGTGACCACAGCCTAGGGGACAGCGCAGCTGAACATGCCAAATGAAACAGTCATCATTATTATGTTTCACCACCACAGCAAGACTCAGCACAATGTACCTGTAAGGTTACCCTCAGCACCACACGCAGCCTTTATGGTCACAGACCAGACCTCAGAAGGTCCGTTTCCATGATGTACTGCAAACCCCATCCAGGAGTGTCCTGGACACATAAGTCACACAAGCAGTACATACCTGTGGGAGGTGGAGGAATGCTGGCTGCTGGCAGAGGCTTAGTAGATGGAGCTCCAGGACCTCCCTGAGGGTAACCCATGTTCATGGGGCAGTTGAAAGGTGTTGAAGAGAAACCTAGAGGAGACTGGCTTGCCACAGGGAGAGGACAGGCTGCAGGAAGCTGAGACGATGGGACTGTGGCTGGAGTGAAGAGGGTAGATCCAGGTGGTGGAACACCAGGAGATGTCATGGGCATGGACTGTCCTGGCAGAGAAGGCTGACTGGGGAAGGAAGCAGGACCAAGAAAGAGTGGATCAGCATCACTTGTTTCATGTGCAAACTATTCTGATGCTCTCCTTCATGCTAGGAAGTCTGCCCTTTTCCAAGGCATACCCTAGAATACCCATGCTAGGTGTATCCTCCATAACCCAGGATACACCAGTCAAACTCTGCCACAAAGTTAGCTGTGTCTTCTCCACCTCTATACATGCTTAATATCAGTGGACGTGCAGCAACAGTTGCTAGAACTCAATATGTAAGAAGCACTGAGGAGCCTCTCAGACAGCTGGCTTGTTCTTTGCAAGTGCAATAAGCATGTGAGGAAGAAAGTAGAGCAGCCATCTGTGTTCGAGGTTTTAGTGTAAGAAAACCTGGAGAATGCACATGACTATAAGACGATGCTTACCTGGCCCTGAAACGGCTGCTGGAACCAAGCCCAAGTTGTACTGTGGGTACGGGGGCCCTCTGGAATAGACACTTGCTTGTGGACCCGTGCTGGCCTGGGGAGGGGCAATGTAGTGAGGTGTCATAGACATCACTGGCACTGGCTGAGGCGTGAAGAGAGAAGGCACTGAAGGCTGAGAAGGTGCTGAAGGTGCAAATGATGACTGATAGCTGGGCTGCAATTAAAGAAAGAAAGAACTTGCAAATAGCCAACACAGTCGTGTGCATACACACACAGGCAGATGCACTTTCTATCCCTGTCACTTCTCGGGCAAGGGAACATGCTGAAGCAGTCAGCGCCCTGGATGGACTGGATCAAAGGCCTTTCCCACCACAGAACTTGCTCAACAAACTGGGCACCACACTTGTCAGACTATTCTCTGGCTCTCATGAGGATTAGTTCTCAGGAGCCAGTTCCCATACAGTGACTTCCTGGAAGCACAACCAGAGGAAATAATGAAGGAATAATAATGAAGTAATAGAGTCTGGAAGCAAAACTTTCTGAACAGTTTTCTTGTGGAAGAGCTGAGATTAAGCCATACTACACTAATTTTACCAAGATGTGAGGGTGAGATGGGCATAGGAGAGCGAACCATAGCCCTCTTTTCCCTCCGTATGACAGATCTCAGTGGACCACTACATTTGTAAGTCTCCTCCAGTGACTGCATGTGGGACAGGGCTTTGCAAAAATATACCAGCCAGCCTGCTTTTGGATTATCACAGAGCTTGTGTTTGCTCCAGTGAAGAACATCACTTATGAGTTCCTCAACACCTGCAATCTGCATCATCTCATATTACTTCACATGCCTCCCACAACCTAGTAAGCCTCCCTCCCTCTCCCCAAGCCACGAACACGAGCTTAAGGCCTACCTTCTCTGGATGTCTGGGACCTGTTTTGTGGGCTGCTCCTTCAGAGGTGGAACCACCCTTGGCTGATGGAGATGTGTGTTTCATGATACCTACATTGACACGAGTGTGGGGAAAAGGGGGTGGCTGCTGATCACCCACATTCTCTCCTTGAGCATGGAAAAGCCGGTCTCGGAGCTGTTCAATCAGGAGCTGAAACAAACTATGCTTTAGGAGAAGCGTCTTCAGAACCTCAGATGGAAGGTGCTTGGGGAGGCATTCAAAGCAGACCCTGACCCAAAGCACTGAGCATCAACCTGCAAAATTAACCATTTCCCCAATAGCCACCAGGAAAAAAAACCCCAAACTGTAAACAACAGTCTGGGACATCACCTGTCGTATTCCCAGGCAGATGAAGTCTCACTGATCCTTCCTCCAATCTTTAGACTTTTCCCTCCCCAATCACTACCCATGTTTGGGAACTAGACAGTTTTGTTTCAAAATACAAGGTGACCTCCCCACTCCCTTCTTCTACCAGTTAGTTTCAGTAATAGATGCAGCTTCACTGGAGAGCTTGCTTCCCAGCATTGTTCTCCAGGAAACATTTTACAGTTCCATAGCTCCCTTTCTTTTCCCTGAATCAAAGGCATGACAAAGAAAAAGCAAATTAAGACAAAAGCTGTGTCCTGGAAAAAAACCCAAACAAACCATGCCTCTGCTCTCAAGCTACCGTGATTCAGGTGAAACCTTAAGTCCTGATGCATGTCAAAACCCGAGTTTTCTGTACAAGAGAGATCTCATACAAAGTATAATTTTTCCCCACGTACTACTCTTTCC